AGTGAGCGGGGCGAGGCGTATGAGCGGGGACTCCTTGGGGCCGTGGGCGAACAGAGGGCTGTGGCTACGTCCAGCCTGGCAGCAGCGCAGGGGAGCTGCGCTGGCTCGCGCTGTGCTGCGGCCCGCGTGCCGCGGCCGAGGGCTCGCTCGGGTGAGCGTGCACGTCACGCTGCAGGGCGCGACCTCCTGGTACATACGGTGCGGGGCGCGCTGCCCGGCACGCGCAAAGCGAAGAGCGGTTGCCTCACATGATGTAACCGGCGTATTTGCCGGTGCCGTCTGCGTTCCACATGAGGGAGGCGAAGTCGGGGCGCGGCGCCGCGTCGACGACCACGGTGTCATAGGCCTGGCCGCTGGCGTTGAGGGCGCCCTGCAGGAAGTCCACGTTTTGCCACCTGTGGGTGGCGGTATGGGTGTATGATTGTGTCAGTGTGTGTGTGTTGGGGGGGGGGCGAGGGAGGTGGAGTAGGTGTGGGAGGGGGTGCGTTGTGGCAGGGAGCGATGGGGAGCTGGCTGTCCATGTCTGCGGGGTGGGTGCGGCCGCCCCCAGTGGACCTGCCAACCAGCGGCCCAGGTCGACTCACGAGGTCGTCAAGCCCGAGTTGTCTGTGATGAGCAGGACTTTGCTGCCCGAGACGGCCGCACCATTCACACCGAGGTGCAGGCCAGCCAGCAGCACAGCAAGGCACACGAGCGCGGTCATCCTATCTGAATAGCTTCTACAACACGTGGTCATTGCCGTCGCCGACAAGTTTGGTGGTAGGAAAGTAGGCTAGATCTCGATGTGCTCTCGCTGTTCGGTATGCAACACGGCAGCCAGCTGGTTCAAGGCCTTCTATGTAAATAAGATAGCTGATGAAATACAAATCAATAAAACAAGAGCAGCGACCGCAAAGCGGATAGCGTCGCAATGCGGCTGCCACGACGCGACTCGGTCGTCGACCACCGGCTCGCGGGAGCCAACCAACGAAACTGCCCAGGCCGGTGCTCTCTGTCTGCAATATTGTGAAGTTTTGCATGATGATTTCTACCGAAGACTGATCAGAGGTGTGGCGATGGGCTCTCTCGTCACACTGCCGCCCCACCAGAGGCTGTCACCCCAGGTTGCAGCAGGAGTTTGGCCTCCTGCATGCCGGCATGGTGCGAGAAGAGTAACAAGTAGCTGTAAGATCAGATGACACGTGGGGGCCACAGCGCTGCCACCTATTCAAACAAGCCTGGGAGGTTGGGATGTACTGGTACTACCTAACCGTGCGTGTGCACGCACAAGAGAAGTGCAACCCACCTGGGGTGTCATGTAAAGGGACAGCAAGAGCGAGGGTAGGGCAGTTTAATCTGCCAAGTCAGAACGGACAGGGCAGTAAATCGGCTGCGGTGGTGGTGCCGCTCCGCCCCTCAACCACAAGCACCTGCTACCACAGCCGGTCACGACTAAGGGAGCTGGGACGCGCGTGCAGAAACCACACACACCCAACAGAACACTGAGTCATCATTGGTGGTGTGCCTCTCCACCTGCCTGGATCTTGCAAGAGCTGCTGCTGCTTTCATGCTTCGAGCTCAGTCAGCTGTTGCCGGAGGCACAGTCGCTGCTGGCCAGGCTGCTCCTGCATGTGTGGCTGCCCCGGCTCATCCCCCCGAAACTTGACACGTCACAGCACGCATGCAAAACTTCACCAACAAACGCTGCACTAGTTGTTACAGCGAGGCGGTCATGTCAGCAGCCCCCCGCGCGACCCCTGCACACGGTCTGTGTGCGCCGCTTCGCGTGCAGCCTGACGCGCCCGCAGCCGCCCGCCCCCGCTGCAGCCGCCGCTGCAGTAACGCCTGCGCGACCTGCGCTCGTGCTGCCGGCCCCGTCGAGCAGCAGCATGCTGAGAAGCTCCAGCTCGCCTTGGCTGAGGGGTGAGCCGCCGCTGCTGGCATCGCCGCAGCCGCCGGCGTCGCCCTGGGCGTCCGACATATCAACGTCCGCTTTGGCCCCGCAGCTGCAGTATCCGTCAGCGCATGTGTTGCCTGAACCGGCGCCGGCCCTGGCGCCAGCGCAGCCCGCGCTGCAGCCCCCCGGAAACGGCCCGGCCTCAGGTGCCCCACGGAGGTGCTGACCGCTGCCGCACGCGAGCGCGATGCCTGCTGAGGCATCCTCACTGGAGGTCGGCGCGGGGCACGTACGCTTGGGCCGCGCGGCATGCGCCGCGGCCGCGCTGGCGTTGGGTCCACAGCTGCTGCTGCAGGGGGGCGCCGCTAGCACCAACTCTCGCATGTTCATGCTCAGGAGCAGCTTGTCAACCTCATCAAAGACATGGTCAGATGTGTGACTCATATCATAAAGTTCCATACTCGAAGTAAACGTACGTACAGTGTATTAGGCACTGATGTTCGCGACAAGAAAAATACAGGACTGCGGGTACAGCGTCAAGCAAAAGACGCTGCCAGTTTTATTATTAAGCAGCAGCGCTCTCTGGGCACTGAAGCTTGGGCTGCGAGGCGGGTTGCCTTCAGTCATCGCAGCAGCTGCACTGCAAACCGCAACTGCCCGGAGCTGCCACCACAAGTCTGAAGTACAGGGCATGTTGCCTTACACAAAAAGGTCTTGCTGCTGCCTCACCCCCTACGCCCAGCAGAGATGCTTCGGCGTGGGCGTCCTCTGGCCCATCCTCGACCCCAGGGCAAGGACCCTGCCACGTGCTGCGTCGCACCCGTGCCCGTCACCGCAAAGCCCCGCACAGCACGGCCCCGGCTCATTCGCAAGATTGAATCGCAATGGGCTTAATTGATGGGAAGGTTACACGTGCCTGAGGACGCAAAAAAAATTGATGAACCAAAAGAGAGGAAAAAACCACTGATGAGGGATGGCAGGCGCGGAGCCGACGGAGGGTTGCAGTGGGAGACAGAGTGCGAGAGAGACCAGGGGGTTGCTGCTATCGTTGAGGCTGCGACGCGCACTCGCGCACACAGTGAATGCAATTACAGCGCAGGCCCCAAAAGGGCCGCAAAACAGAGGGGTGGGGGGGCACACACAAAGGCGGAGAGAGGGAGGCAGAGAGTGCGTGAGACAGAGAAACAGAGAGACAGCGTGCGCAGCAACAACAACAAAACGCTAGCTAACGCCCCCGCCTTTCCGCCGGCCGCACGCGTGCGCGCCCCCGCCGCCGCGGGCTGCGTCACCAGAAGGGGCACCACCCCACGTAGCTCTGCGCCAGGTTCTCGTGGCTGGTGGCCTGGCTGATGAGGCGCTGCACCTGGGCGGGGACGCCGTGGCTCTCCGTCGGCCCCGGCACCCCCTCCACGGCGTGGTCCCGCCCCATGAGCTTGTCGCTCATGCGCGTCATCACAGCCACGGCGCGCTCGTTCAGGACCTTGGGG